ATATATATATATATATATATATATAAAACCTAAAGAGAGAAGTTTTAAATAATGTTTGAAACATTAATCAAAACATTACGTAAATTTAATATTTGAAAATTGTAGCATAAAAAAAGAACCAAATGAAACATTTCTATAAATTTATAAATTCAAATAATTTTATATCTTATGATGAACAGATTTTCTAGATTTTTAAGACAATAGGATCTAAACTTGATGATCAAGACTCCAGTCTTGAATATATCTATACAAAACAAGTATCAAAATAAATCCTGAAAAGTTACAAAAGAAATTAGAACATGCATTGCAAAAAAAAAAACATTGTTACAGAGTGTATCATTCTATTGCTATGAACATTTCTCATATATTATGGTGTATGAAATGTAAATTAGGTATAAAGAATTTTTTATACACAAATTTATATAATAAAGATGTAAATATACGTATTTATAATACTTAATAAATTATTTACTATTTCAATATGCTTTTTAAAGCCTTCATTACCTTGAGTTGTATTATGTTAGCCTTATGATTGTTGTATACATTCAATTGTTTTTTTGTGAGGTTGTTAGATCACAGCATTTAAACAAATTCTGCTATTTGTATTGTATATTAAAGACGTTGTGCAACTCATAGGTGAGTCTAATAGCATGTTAATGTCTTAATATTTGAATAACTCAAGGTTTTGTATACTTTACAATATTGTACTATTTATGACATATAAGGACAAATTTCTGCTTTCTTTACGCAGGCTATGGATGATGATGATGAACCAATTGATGCTACAATTCACTCAAACCAAGCAAGCAAGGATAAACACGTGTTCAATGGTCAGTTGCTTAAAACAGAAGTGTCAGCTTCTCACACTAAATCATCCACTCATCTGCCCATTGAAACAACCTCATCTACTTCACTTGCCATTTCACCTACATCAGTGGTGAGCACCACAACAGCTGATGCTTTAGCAGCTGCTACATCAGCTGCAGGACAGCTGTCATTAAACCAGGTAACAAAGCACATATTAAGTCTTTCATTTCATATATAAGTGTGTGGCATTTCAGTGTGATATTGATCATGGGTTTTCTATTCTGATTTTTCGAGACACCAACTGGGGATTCGATACACTGTCAAACAGAATTGGGCCATAAGCCCCGTGTGCCAATGCCTATGTAGTTATGGATCTTCATTATCAAATAATCCATAAAATTACGTTTAATATGCTAAAAATGTACCAAAGTGTACCGGAACCTGTTTGTTTCATCATAAAACTGTAATATGTCATAAATTATGTTTAATTGGGTAATATAACTTGGTAAGGATACCCAGTTAGCTGCTGTCCTGTTACACGTAAATCTACTGGGCAGAAACGTCAAATTGGAATAATATATATATATATACATTGCAAGTTTAAGTTCTTTATTGCTTTTGTTGATATAGATTCTAATAGGCAAAAGCTAGTTTAATTCATGGGACATTAACCAGTGGTACAACTGGACCTCGTCGGGCCCATGTAACAAAATTACATGAAGGCCATTATCACTGTTGTTAAATATTGTGGAACTCCAAGAGACCAAAAATTAGCAGAGGTAGACCTATAAAATGATTATTTGAAGTTCATTTCCGTAACACATTTTTTTAAACCAGCATATAATTTTCTATCTCTGTACAGTTAATGGCTACCCCCAGTCAACAGTCAATGTTACTACAAGGACTGGCACAACAGTTTCTGATGGGAAAGGTCAGTTATGTATAATTGATTTAGGTAGTTTAAGTACCAGATAGTATTTAATGTATTCTCACACAAGCATATACATATTTTTTATATTCAGTTCCTTTAATATCACATTCGGTATTGTTCTTGAGGAAACCTTTCAAGCTAACTAATACCAAAATTAAATATAGTTACATCCTTACTTAACAGAGTAATAATGGACATATCATTGTTCTGGGGACTGTAGGGGGTTCTGTTTTACCAAAATGCTAAGAATACTATATGATGTCCTATAAAAGAAAGAACATGATAAAGGTCCAGGTAAATGAGGTACTGTCAACTTGTTCTTTCATTTCATATATCTTATATTTATTCTGGACTCTTTCCCTGTCAACAGTTACTTTAGGTGAGGTAAATGAGATACTGTCAACTAGTTCTTTCATTTCATATATCTTATATTTGTTCCGGACTCTTTCCCTGTCAGCAGTTACTTTAGGTGTGATTAAATTTATTGAGCAATAAACATACAAGAATTACCAAAATACTAATCCAATAGTAAAAGGATTAGGCTATTTACTTCTGAACTAGCATAGGGATTATTTCAAAATCAGATGATTTGCTTGTTTGTTTGTAATTAAGCACAAAACTACACAATGGGCTATCTGTGCCCTGTCCACCACAGGTATCAAAACCCGGATTCTAGCGTTGTAAGTCCGCAGACATACCACTGTGCCACTGGAGGGCAAATCAGACGAACATAAAATACTGGAAACAAAAAGGTTTTACAGGATATATTTCTATATATTTGTTATTATTATTTTAGTCCGATAGTGCCTCAAAGGTTAAAAATGACAGTTTTTAGTGTGAAAGAGTTCTGTAGTAGCAAAATATAATAAAAGTCATAAAGTAAAAGAATACTTTAAATATCAAAATATGACAGTTTTAGTGTGAAATAATAGTTCATAGATCATAATTAACACAGACTATATCTGAATCAGTGCTGTAAGAGTAAAATGTGATGAATAATGTAAGGCACTACTTTAAAGATCAAAATATGACAGTTTTAGTGTGAAATAATAGTTCATAGATCATAATTAACACAGACTATATCTGAATCAGTGCTGTAAGAGTAAAATGTGATGAATAATGTAAGACACTACTTTAAAGATCAAAATATGACAATTTCAGTGTGAAATCGTGCTTCAGAGACCATAATTAATACAGCTAATATTTTATTAGTAGAACATAACTCTAATTATGAAATATGATTTATATAAACCGAGTTTCAAGCATAAAAATATGAAAATTTTTATTGGGTTCAAAGGTCAAAATGTAGCAGAATTTTCTCATGAAACGGTTGTTAAGGATATACATATGACAAAATTTTATTTTCTTAATGCAGCTTCCAGTATCCTCTGGCTTACCGGGTCTACATCTTAGTCCACAAAACATTCAACAACTCCAGCAGCAGCAGCAGAGTCTACAGAATATGAGTCAGTTTGTGTACCTCCAACCCAATCACTTGTCTGCCAACATGCAAGCTCAGTTATTTCTCCAAAACCAAGTATGTAAATCCAGATATTTATGTTTTCACTCAAACATGTCACACATTATTTCATAGTAATAGTAAGTTAGAACATATTATTATAATTAGTTATGTAATTAATGTTAATGTAATATATGTTAATGTAATATAAAAATACTCTGTAATACTGTTGTGTCAGCGAGGTCACATGACTAGTGTCATGCCACGTTTTCTAGAAATATCCTGTTCCTTCAAGAATGTGTTAGTCTTGTATATATATAAGATGGTCACAACGTCACGGAAACAGTGTAGTGAGTAATTGAACTGCAGTCAAAGAGTATTGTTGAAGTTGAGCACGTTCGTTGTTATAGCACGACTGTTGAAAATAAGTGTATTGGTAAAGTTATATTCAGAAAGAATAAACCAGTTTTATTAAGAAAGGACTTGTGTCGCTAAAGTTTCGTGGAAACGAAGTTACGGAAAATCAACCAACGAACAGAGATGTAACAATACATTATAATGTCTTATGGAATGAAGTTTTTATTTACAAGGATACTTTTTTGTGTATAAAACTTTTATTCAGAATTATTTAACATATAGAGAAGAGGTAATAAATACAATGTTGAAAATAATTATGGAAACAGTGAAAAAAGTAGTATAAAATATAAATATTATGAGATGGCTTCCCTTCTTCTGTAGGAAGATCAATGCACTAGAGTACAGTCATGTGTTGATAGCTTACACTGTGATTGGCTGCCATTCATCCAATCAGACAGTACCACACCAGCATAAGGCTTATAAAGGTACAGACAGTCATACTATTTCCAGCAATAGTGTGGTGTTGTACTTGTGGTTACCAGAACAGAAATGCCACATTACTACCTTGGTTACTCCACATTACAGATTGAAATGAAATTTCATGTTTCAGTATAAGTTCTATAGAAACTTTGAAGCTTCTCAAACGTCATTGCTTAGAAGGGATAACCATAAGAAAAACTGAAATAGGCATCACACTTCAAATAATGGGATGAGCAAAATTACAGAAGTATGCTCTTTACAAATGAATCAAAATTTAAATTGCCAGACCAAAATCAACAATAATGTGTTTGGTGGCAGAGAGGAGAATGACATCACTGTCAATGTACAGTGTACACAATGAAGCATGGTGAGGGACCAATACAAGTGTTGGCTGCAACTCAGTTAATGATGTTGTAGAAGATCTACACAAAATTGGTGGCACCCTACAAGTATAATCCTTAACGCTTGTGTAGTTGTCTCAAGAACAATAACTTCTGGGCAGGGATTCATCTTCCAGCAAGACGGTGATCCCAAGCATGCAGCATATGTGGTGAGATGATACCTAGAGAAGAGAATCAACTTAATAGAGCAATCACAGCTAGCCTTTACAAAATCCTAATATAAAAATCATTAAGGCTTTATGAGTTTATGTGGAAAATGAAAAGTTTGAATAACAACCGAGTAACCTTGATTGAATTGTGAGGAGTAATATGGGACGTTTGGAACAATATTTCACAACCTTACATTGATAAACTTATGGTACCATAAAAATCAAGGTCTGTTTAAAGCAAACTGAAAATACTAATGGAACTTACAACTTGTTCGCTTTTCTTAAGTTGACACTCAAGTTGCAATAACTTATTGTTTCTGACTTCTGTTTGTGTAGCACACATGTTTCCATAATTATTTACAATGCTGTATGTATATAGATAATCTTTAATTTTTATTTGTTTTAGTGTTAGTTAAGCATACAGTAGACATTCACTTAGCAAGCTGTTACAGCATCAGTTTCACTTTATTTAGCATGATTTGTTTATGAACAATGCACTTTCATGAAGAATTGACAACTGCAATTACACTGTTTGCCTATCAATAGAACAAATAAATCATGAAACATATACATGGATGTATTATTCCAACTCTCCATCATATGTATTTGTAATAAAAGAAAAATAGAAAAAATTAAATTTATATGTACGTTAGAGGTTTTTTTAATACCTCCTATATAGGGACTTCTGATGCAGCAGTCTTTACAGAATTTACAGTTACAAGCAAACCAAGCTGCTGCCGCCTCCCTTCCTCAAGGGGTATTAACATCACAAGTAGCAACAGCTGCTGTGACCCAACAACACTTACAACAACTTCAACAGCATCACTCTCAGTTCTCCAAACCACAGCAAGAACTACAAGGCCTCTCATCCCTCTCTCTAGCCCAACCTAAGGTTTGTGTTAGTCATTTATACAGATGGTTTACAGTGTAAATAACTTACAACCTTTCAGAGAAACCCAAGAGTCAGATTCTGACAAATAACCAAATGACAGCCCACCTTACCCTTAAAAAGGGAAAATCTGACGTCACCATTTGTTGTTGGTGTACTTTTGGTATTGAATTTTTCAAAGTTTTCAAAATTGTCTAAAATACTAAACAGTCAGCTATGTATTTTTTTAAAGTTATTCTTGCCCTATTATAGTTATTATTAACTATTATTGTTAGTATGGTTTAAAAGATTTTGCACAGTTAGCTCACGTACTGAATGTCTCTCTGTAGTATCACTCTCATAATATGGATAATTTAAAAACTCTGTGCAATTTATAACATACTGAAGGTTGACTGTATTAAATCTGATTTAAAAGTGAATAACTAAAATCTGAAATAGTTATATTTTGTGTTTTATAATGGGTGAAGGGGTAGGTTGTTCTGTAGGTTGTAGCACATCAAACATTGATATGCAAATCATCATTTAGTTCAGATTAACTAATATATATTACACGAACTTTGAGCTTGTAATTATTAATGTATAGAAAAATTAGCTATACATAAAAAATCAAGGAGCTAAGCTAAATGCAGCAAATAGTTTGAATTAACCTTAAATACTTTCTCCATTCTCTGAATCAAATCTTATTTATTAAGTTATGATAAAAGTAAAACCTTGTCATCTTGCATATTCTAGTAGTAAGACCAGTGTTATCACATTCATTGTGATGGTTTCTATTGTTTGATGGGTTCAATTGGATTATTCTATAAAAACAAGAATAGAAAGTCCAGTTCATTTAATGATAATGAAAGTGTTTTATTTTTGAATTTCATGTTTAATGTTTAGCATAACTATTCTTCATTGCGATAGGTCTAACTTTGCAAATAAACCATGTCTAACAGAAATTCCATTTCACTAACTTACTCATTTCATACTTATATTTCTTCATCAAAACACACACACTCAATATTCGTAGCAATGAACTGACTAACTTGCTTAAGTAACAGATACACTGACTAATTCGTGCACTGATTACTTATTAACTGCCCAACAGACTCAATAACTCACTTTAACAGACTGTAACCTGTTGTCTAGTTGTTGTAATATGGTATCAAATGGCCAAAGCAACTTAGATCTGCAAGATGTATAGTATTACATATAATGGATAGGTTAACAGATCATCAAGCAGGGATAACACTTCACTGCATTGTTACTAGAGGGAGGAAACAACATGAAGTTGCTTAATTTCCAAATTTAAGCAGGACTGATCAGCATATGGTCGTATGCCAGGGAGGCTTTTAAAAGAGGAAGGGTATTTTTTATGCAAATGATGAGAATGTGCCCACTTCAAAAATGGCAGCATAATTCAGATAGGCTACTGATTTGACTGGGTGACTTTTACTTTGCCTTCTTAGGGGCAGACAGGTTAGGAACAGGAATTCTGAACATCAAGTGCTTTATTTATTGCCTATAAACAATGATGTATATTAAAAAAGAGCACTGGGTACCTGTGGGAACAATGGATCTCAAATGACCTGCCAATGAAGGAGGAAAACAAGGCCTAAATACCTGTGCTTTTTTACAGGTAATCATCTACCTAAATACAAGGCCAGTCTCACAAGTACTTTAATCTTGCACTTCCATATGCTTATGGTTGGCACAGGAATCAAAAACATGGTGATTTCAGTCAATTAAAATTATGATGGTACTGCACTCTACACAGATAAAAACCAAAGTAAGGTCTTCATGCTCAGATACATCAACCATTATGGCCATAGTGGCATGCAAGAATAACTCAATAGCTCCCAATCAAGCTACAAATACATGCAGATATCGAAGACATCGTTAGTTGCGATCAGATACATAGAACTCCAGGACCAGTTGGTGTATGAATTTCCATCTTTAAGAAGCTTACAGAAGCCAACATCTCAAGTTATTGTTGGAGTAGCAACATAGCTGGGCAATGGATAGTATCCCTGAAATATGGACTTATGTCTTTACCAAATCCTTACCCATTCTTGCCTTAAAAGCCATCAAACTATCATCTTATGAAAGATCATTGGCAAGGTCCCGGAGAAGACTGTAGACAGAAAGTTTACCTATGATAATGAACCACTACCATCATTAAGTGGTTATTGCAGTGGAATAGAAACCTGGATCAATGCTGATAAATTCACAGCTGATACATAAGAAGGCTTAGTAGCTGATCAGAACACATATGTGGAAGACCCTTAAAAAAAGACTTCAGCTGCCCATTCTGCTGAAAAAATGCTCAGAATAGGCTTCAGTGTAGTTTGTTTAGATGATCCATAACTGCAGAAAATGCATCATGAAGCAAGAAAGCTGGCAATGAGAATTAATCACTATCAATGCCAGTCTAGCCCAAGGATATTCAATCTAGCCAGTCCTTTTCAGCATCTACACCATATATCTAATGCACCTTCACATACCAACTAGATGGTGTGTACTAACCTTTGCTGTCAATATGCTGGTGTACAGCTGGTAATCTAGCAAATCAGAATTTAAAAGCAAAATGCAACCATAAGCAGGATAAGCAAATGGTGCAATGGAACAGGAACAGTCATCAATCTTGCTGGAGCCACAGTCATATTCTGCATACTCAAATTAGACATGCTGATGAAGACAGACCATTACCATCTTCTACAGGCACTACATGCCAGCCCTCTGGAAGAAACTTTGAAATACCTCAGGGTAATCTTTGACAGAAAACTCAACTTGCCAAATGAACACCATGGTAACCATGCTGATGAAGACAGACCATTACCATCTTCTACAGGCACTACATGCCAGCCCTCTGGAAGAAACATTGAAATACCTCAGGGTAATCTTTGACAGAAAACTCAACTTGCCAAATTAACACCATGGTAACCATGCTGAAGAATGTCACCTTCTTATACTCTACTCCATGCTGGATGTTGTAATACTGATGAGTAAAATGAATGCTATGCTGCTGGTTAAGTTTAAGAAATACAAAAAATCTGTTTAAAATCAGTCACAGGATGTACTTCAACCACCCATACAATATTCTATTACACCACAGCAACATCACAAAACAACAACAGTACTTAAAGCAGAAATCAACACTAGAACCTTGCAGTATCAATACCATGCATTCTGTCAGTGAGCTGCTGCCCTTTTCATTGGGACATTCCAGCTCCACAACGATCCCACAGACATCAACCAAGTAGGGGAATGTCTTAAAACGTGCCTCAGTAAAATCATCGCTGGACATTTGCTACACAGCCACCACTTGAGATAATTGATTACTACTGTATCTTAGATACCCCATTTGGAATAAACATTTACCACCACTGGGATATGTGAAAATGAGCCTAGATGTAATGTTTAGAAATTTTACAGAAGATGAAGCAAAAAAAGACCTGTCAGCTCCTACTTAAATATCATGGTGGACAGCCACAGATGGTTTCTACATGACAGGGAGTGAGGGAGCTGATTGGGCATTATCTTCTCATGGAGCAGTAATATTCTGCATAAGACTGGTGGACCACTGAAGCAGCACAAGGAAGCCATAAATCAAGCTCTTTTCTAGATTGATAAAAGCACTGAACTACAAATATACAGTCACAATAATAATATTTGTGAGTGATTCACTGGCAGTACCGAATAATATTCATGGTGGCTGAGAAGCTTGCAAGAGGAACCCCTATATCTGGCACAATTCTAATGGCAGAATATTGATCTTCTCTGAAAGTGACAACCATGGAATGTCTTTACTGACATACAGATGGAAAGAGACTGCTGCAAAACAATGTACAGTATTTTTAGCTAGGAAAAGCAAAACAGGGGGTATCAATAGAACAGTATACAACCAGAAGACCACTAGTAATATAATAACATTCTTCAAGCTCCTATGAAGCAACTGGCCTTCATTTACATGATGGTTCAGCATCTGTCCAAGCAACACCTAGGATCGTCACCCAGTGTTCAACTTAACTTTGACACACTAAATAATATAATCTAGCCGAGCTGACTTCTTATATATAACTCAAGTTGTTTTCTAAATTTTCAAGAAGGTTCTAGTCATGAAGGCCAGATTCATCGAGTTATGATAAAACTTACTTCTGGATGAACAACAATACAAATTTCTAGAAATGTCAAGATTAAAAACTTAGCACAATACCCTTTTTCTATCTAACTTGAAATTTTATAAAAAACAGAATCTGCAAGAAATATACAAACTTTTATGATAATGTTTCAGTTATAAGAGCTTGGTGTTGTCTACCAGTGGCATTCATAATCAATTGTAATTTAATACAATCCACTTTAGCTGGGGGTATTCTTATTAAATTAAGAACTCGCTAATTAATCAGTGTACTCTTTCCAACAAAGAAAACGTTGGTCTTAGATGAGGTATCAAATCATTTTAATATGTGATACTCATGTAAAGTATGTTCTAATTAATCAGTGTACTCTTTCCAACAAAGAAAACGTTGGTCTTAGATGAGGTATCAAATCATTTTAATATGTGACACTCATGTAAATTATGTTCTAATAGGCGTGACTTTGTTTCTATCTTCATAATTTGCTTATTCCTGTCTGATGCCAAGTCGCTTTGTGGTAGAACCATTACATTCTTACAGACAAGGACAACATTTGATATTTTCACCAGAAGTATTCTGTCTTTAAATCTGAGAAATATTGTAATTCATCTGGTGTCATATTGCATCTTAAGTGACTGTTAGGAAAAGTTAGACACACCAAGTATATATATATGTCTATTTGAAACTGAGTAAAAAGCATTGTGTGTGATAGCATTCTTTGTCTTAATAAATAGCATGCAAAACTTCATCTTGTTTTTATTGTAACTAACTGCCTAACTACATTTTACTATGAAAGTAAGAGAGTATCTTTGTTTTAAACACTTTCAAACCTATTTCTTTGTTAGCTGTAGATCTATGGTCTTGAAAATACTTATAACTCCTAGTATTTTTGTAACTAGAATGTAAATGTGACCTCACAAGTCAAATCCCGAGTAAATGAGCCCAGTTCTGAAGAGAATATGGATTTGGAAGAATTGGAACAGTTTGCCAAGAGTTTCAAGCAAAGGAGAATAAAGATGGGTGAGAAGACAATACTAGCATTTAATGTTTAAAACTACTAATTGAATAAAAGATAACATGATAGACTGAAACATTTGAGTAAAATTAGTGAACCATATACAATGAAACTTTATTTTCTTAGTAAAATAGCTAAAGTTTAGTAGACAGACATGTTCTATGTATATTATGTTTTTGGATACATTCTTATTGATACTGTCACAAAACTAAAACTTTTTTTTTCACATCTAGGGTTCACTCAAGGGGATGTGGGTCTAGCCATGGGCAAACTATATGGAAATGACTTTAGTCAAACCACCATATCCCGATTTGAAGCACTTAACCTCAGCTTCAAAAATATGTGCAAACTGAAACCACTTTTACAGCGTTGGCTAGAAGATGCTGATGCTTCTCTTAATAATCCAGCTTTACACACACATGTCAATAACTCACCTGATGCTATTGGAAGGAGACGGAAGAAAAGAACTAGCATTGAAACTAATGTACGAGTAATGCTAGAAAGAGCCTTTAAACAGATGCCGAAACCAACATCAGATGAAATTACCATGCTTGCAAGGTCACTAGCTATGGATAAAGAAGTAGTTCGTGTGTGGTTTTGCAACCGTCGCCAAAAAGAGAAACGAATAAACCCAGCAACTTCAGTTCTTGACTCCTTTTCAGCTTCACCTGTAACCCCTAAAAGTATTTCTTTGGCTGTTGCTGCTACATCGTTTGGTGTTTCATCAGGGTCAAACTCTCCTGGCTCTTCCCATGATGTGACATCAACAGCATCATCTTTGAGCGGTGTTTTTCCTGCCCTAATACCCATAAGCTCTGCTCAACTCGCTACCTCAATTACCATGACCCCTCCCAGTGCTTGAAATACATAACATTGCAAATTCTACTGCCAGAGTGACACCCTATCAAGAAAAATTGATAGTTTTTTTTTATTGGAATTATTCTCAGACAGTTAATAGCATGACACTGAATGAGAGCAAACAATTGTAAATAATTGTTTTCTTGAAAAATTGCTATACTATAGTTCCTAAAGGAAAGTGATCATTAATATTAATATTGTGGCAAAGCTTCAGAGTTAAAGATATTCAACTTTGATTGATTTTAAACGGGTAAATAAAATATATACTTATACACACATATATATCAGAGAAGAGAGCAGCAGTCATTTTGGTGGTGATGGATACCGTTAAACAACAAGATACCTCTAAACAACTTGTACGTGATAGTAACTCATAAATACATACCTCAGTGCTAAACTGTGCAAATATAGTTAGTATTGACTGTGTTAGAGAAATACCTGATACCTGCTGTGACTCAGGGAATATCATATTTTATTCTGTCATTGGTTTCGAACTGAAAGGTTAGTGCATAACTGACATTTTTTACTGCATAAGTCTATAGCTACAAAAAAAGTCAAAGGCCGACCCACTTCATCTGAGATTTTCAAAACAAACCGTGTTTTCATGTTCTTTTTTAGTTTGTTCACATATGGAAACTTGGAATACTCCAAATTAGCTTCTGTTCATCAGAATTTATGAGAAACTATAAAGTTTTCATGGAAATTTTCTACTAGAACTTCATAATTTGCGGGTTTTTTTACTTTCTTTTTGTGTGTGTCTGTGGATAAACTGGGACTATATAATAGTTGAAACAGTATATCCAGGTGTTTAACATAATTGTTTGTACCTGACAATATACTTTGTAACTGTGGTGTGATATTACAAACATTTCGTTTTCTTACTGTTAAACTGTTAGTAAATTATGCTTAAGCTAGATTTCAAAGAGTTAAGTTGTGGCATTGAAGTATATCTATTAAGAAGGATGAGGATTCTCCTTTGAGGTACACAAACATAGATACAATACCTTGTTATCATATTGTGGCACTTGTTATTTCTCTACAGCTTAAACCATGTAATGTTTTTGTCACTGTTTGTATATAGGTCATTAATAAGATGTGCTTTCAGTGGGTTTATAGTTTAAAAGTGGTAATGATTTTTATACAGACAAAATTCCCAAGTAGACAGATCCGGCTCCTCTCCTTTAGGGGTCAGTGGAGCTTTTATTGACTCTTCTTAGAGATTTCAAAAATCAATACAATTTTTTAAACCTATAGGAAGAAAGAAATTAAGTGGGCCAGAGTGAAATTTGAGGGAGCATGGTCACCCCAGTACCCTCTAGTGCCCGACCCTGCATGTAAATATAGTCATAAAAGACAGATTTAGCCAATATTTGTCTTGTGCACTGAATCAAACCAGCCAATCACTTTTTTTTCTCCCATGTGTACTATTTAATCTGTCTAAAAGATTGTTGGTAGTAAGCAGTGAAGAAAGAAAACAAAGCAATTAAGTCCTTTAGTTTATCAGTCATGTTATTGAATGCTTGGGATTATTTTGTTATAGGGGATTGATGTGAAATACATTTGCCTTCATATCTCTTTCTATCACATCATGTTGCTTGTTAATAATTATCTGATAGCTAATTATGCTTATTTTTGGAATATGTATCACGTGTGTACAAGTTTTAAGTTTTAACACTTCAAGGTCCGAATATTGGAAACTTGCCAATGTAGAACCATTTGTTTTTCAGAGCAAATAACAGGAAAGTTGTTGGTTCTAATTTTTTATACGGTGCAATGCTATAACAACTCTGAAGACCAAGATAGTAGTTATTTTTTAGGAAACCAGAAAGACTGACTAATATGATACGTACAGTAATACCTCATTGAACTTCAGCTAGTTACTAAATTAATTTCTTTTGTTTGCTTGAAATAATTGCAAACGATAATATTCTCAAATTTTAAACATCACGATATGGCTGATTGTGATCATATTTATATATTTTGGTTTCTTATCATCTGTCTTTTGGTTTATAGTAACTGTCTTCATACTGCACCTTGTCTTTGTCTAAAATACCTCATTAAAGGAAAAAGTAATTTTGATTTTAAACTATTAACATTTTCATTGACTTATATATATTTATCTAAAGACCTTCAAATATCTTAGGTGTTTTATTGTTTCAAAGAATATAAGCAAAATAGTAAATAAATTGTGGGCTACACTGTAGACAACTATGTAACTAGACAACTTAATAGTTTATATTTTGAACAAATGAATGACATCTTTGGTAAAAGATAATTTACTCCAAATTTCTTGTGTTGGAATAAGCACTCAGTTACCTTAATTACATAACTTTTTTTTCTCGGCATATTCTATGTTGGCAAGGGAAAACTGTTAACATCTGTTTTTACCTAGATGGGGTAACAATATCAGGGGTTTTTAAGTGTCTTAAAGCCTTCCTTGTGGGGCTTGGTTGTGGTTCCTAAATAAATTGATATCTTACATTTCAAAGGCCAGGTCACAAATCTCAGAATATGTGGGCAAAGGAAATACTCTATTTTGGCAAAAAATGTTTATTCCCACATTGAAGTGTATTTGACATCTGGCTTACTATGATTGTGATGAAATTATTCACAGTATTGAAACATGCATACGTAAACACAATAACAGACATCAGTAACCAATGATTGGAAAAAAGGGGTTCTTTTCATGGTCAGGAGTTGATTTGGTGGTACTCTTTAACACAGAGATGGATAGTTAGGTATTGATGATTTGGTGGTATTCTTTAACACAGAGATGGATAGTTAGGTACTGATGATTTGGTGGTACTCTTTAACACAGAGATGGATAGTTAGGTATTGATGATTTGGTGGTACTTTTTAACACAGAGATGGGTAGTTAGGTGGTGAATGTTGTTTGAAGTGCACAATCTAAATCACTGGGAAATTTATTCTAAAGTCTACCTCAAGCATTAACAAATCAAAATTAATGTACTTTTCTTGCTTTTTCTTTAATGATTATAATTATTACTGAAATGTTTATATAATATATACATCTAGGTGATATGATGTTTTTAAATGAAAGGTTTGCTTTTGTTTGTGTGCATACCTCTTGTTCAAGCTATATGTCAAGCCCTTTGTGAGGGTCTCTGAGCCTGGCTCATACCTCATGGTTGTGTTCTTATAAGAAATATCGTTTTCTACCAATTAAAAAGAGAACAGTTCTTTTAAAGGTATTTCAAATTGTGCAAGTTGCCTAGTAGCAAGGATAAACTATTTCATATTGTAAATCATTTATATATGTATTCAAACCATGTGTATAAAAATAAGCTAGCTTGCATGCTCTTGAATTTTTCTGTAGATCAGGATCCTGATTGGTAATCCAAGAATAGAAAGGTTTAAATGTGACTTGAATTTCTTGGAATAGAATCTTCATAACCATGGGCACTATTCAGGTTGGAAACTATGTTAAAGCAATCACTTTGTGTTCTCCTATTTCAAACCCAAGTTACGCCATGTTATAAAATGCCAAGTTCTTCTTTTGTAGCCCTCAATGCAAACATACAGAGCAGCTTTTTTTAAGGATAAAGGCTACATATTGATAGTATAACAGAAAGCTTCTTGTTGACATCACTCTGTCTTCATTAATTGTCTCAAGAACATGTATATTTTTCTTATGCATACACTTAACACATAAGCTGTTTATAGGATTTTAGAAGAAAGAAAACTGTAAATTAAAAATTACGTTGAAAAATCCATTTTTCTATGGATAATGATAAAAGCGATACCTTGATATCTACCTGCCCACTGAGATCCGCAAGTGTTGTTTATGTATGTTGTTTATCTATGGATAATGATAAAAGCGATACCTTGATATCTACCTGCCCACTGAGATCCGCAAGTGTTGTTTATGTATGGTGATCTTAGCACAGCTTTTTTTTTTACAGTTATGGGCATCTCCACTGAGAGCTAGGTATATTGATGCCATCAACTTCAAGAACAGTACATTTATTTTTATTATAGATACTTGTAATGTTTGTTAGTTCTTTTTTGTGTCAACTGTATAGTAAAAAAAAAATGCTTAACAGTTGATTAGAAAGAAAACCACTAGAAATTAATGCTTATGGTTTGTCAAATTATGTATGTGATGATATGTAAACCAGGAAGATTTAAGATTAACAGAAATGATAATAGATGAAAATGACTTCTAACATTTGATTTGCCACCTAGTCAGTGTAGGGAAATTTTCAAAGAAAATGTTTGGATTATTCTTGTTTGTTTTCATATTTTCTGTATGAGAGAGTTAGCTTTACTACTGATAGATAAGGTGCTAATTTAGGTTTGAAAACATTCCAACTGTTAAATTAGAATCTTCTTGTTCATACATATAAGAACTTTTTCTTTGGTTTAATTTTTGTTATTTAAATAACTCTAGAAACAATCAATGAGGGAAAAAGCTTTTATACAAGAAAATCTTCTTGTTTTTTATTCCACGTACAATAAAAATTTAATTTTATTGCATAGACCATGAATATAACCAGATTTCTTTATTATTTTTTATTAGCATCAGCAAAATTGAGTAGACAAGTCTGTAGATGGGCTATCAGTTTGTTATGTTAAACTTCTATGTACAGGTATTGAGGGCAATAAACTGAAGGCAGATTTTCACACTTTCTTTGGTAGCATTCTATGATTGACATTTCTGTTTACTTCAGTTACTATTTTACATAAAACACACACAGTATTACTGATTCCAAACAATTTTTCGAAAAATGCAAATAAAGTGCGTATTTCAAAGCAATATTATATGTGAAATCTCCAATTCTCTTTATTTTTTAGGAAAACACAAGATCGAAACCTTATGACTTTAATGAAAAGTATTTTATTGCTCCCAAGCGGGAAAAAAGTTAATTCCTCCACTGCTCAAGGAAAACATAGATTAAAGATGGACAAAGTTTGTAAAGAAGCCGTAATAACCTTTTAGATTTAAGAATTTTCAATGAAAGTTTGTAATTTTAAAGTCCTTGTATTCATTTTTTTTTCTTTCGAAGTTAAATAATATTGTTACGTCTCCGTTCATTAGCTAATTTTCCGTAAATTCGTTCCGACGAAACTTTAGCGATACAAGTCCTTTCTTAAATAAAACTGGTTTATTCTTTCTGAATATAACTTTGCGATACACATAATTTCAACAGTCGCGCTATAATTCTCAACGAACGTCTCACGTGCTTGACTTCAACAATACTCAGTTCAATTACACACTCTCTGACTGCAGTTCAATTACTCGTTGTTCCGTCACGTTGTGACCATCTTATATATACCAGACTACCCCCAATCTAGTAGTCTCCCGATAATTCACGAAGGTTCGAGAAGGACGTGGCGTGATACTAGTCACGTGACCTCGCTGACGCAACACTGCTTCCTCCTTAGTATTGTTCGTATCGAACAATAGCCACTTGCATTAAACCAATAACAATTAACAATAACTTAATTAAATGTACAGAATTACAAACACAAAATTACAGTTCAACAAAGTCTCTTAATTTTACGGGATGTATCTTCTTCTGTACTGGTCTCCGTCTCGTTGGCTTCTGCTTCATATGGGGTTCATCAGGAAATGTTCTATCGTCGATAACAGTCACATCAGTGGTAGTAACTTCATCAAGAGCTTCACCGTTTCCCTTCTCAAAGCTGAGTAGAGTTTCTTCTTCGGTGGTGGCACGTCTTCAGCAGCGTCATTTGTTCTGTTGTCCACTTCGTCCCAACTGAAATGTCCTGGACCATGATAACGCCAAAGCCTGTTGGCATGCACCACTTTTGGCTTACCTCGCCGACCACATGTTATTCGGAAAGTCACGTCTGAGAGACGATCCACTATGTCATTTTAGTACATGTAGTGCAAAAAGGGGACCCAAGCATAAGGGATGCCCACCTTATGAAGAGTTTGAGTATGAATATGTCAGAGTTTGTGGAAGTGTTATCGGAAAGAATGGATGATATTCATCATCAAGTGCGTTCAAATTTGAAAACGTCTGCTGACTCAATGAAGTTAACTTATGATAAGAGATCTACTGAAGTCAGCTTTGTACCTGGAGACAAGGTATGGTTGTATAATCCCAGGAAGACCAAAGGGAAGTCTCCTAAGTTGTCTTCTCCATGGGAAGGCCCCATGTCCTGCACCATTCTTCCACATCTCGCCTCATACCTATCCAGTAAAATCTTTGTCGTAGTGACTCAATGTCTTCCTAATTCCGAGATGTCCTCCTGTTAAATTATCATGGGATTGACGCAGCACAACTTCCCGTAACTTCCTCGGTATAACGTTTGCCAAGTCGTCAATTTCCCATCTGTAGTTCCCATCTCCGAACAAGAATACCATTTTCAAGCTTCAACTGGTCCCATTGTGCCCAATAGTGCTTTGTCACAGGGCTTAGACTAGACACCTTCTCCCAAGCAGGGCGTGAAACACTTGCTTTTAAAACAATCAATTATTGGCTTCAAATCTTGATTTTTCGCCTGCTCTGTTTTAATATCAATACTTGGTTCCACTTCGTCATCATCAACTTTTTCAGTCACTTTGACTTCATCTTGATGGCACCTAATTAGTTCAACCTCTCTTTTAACAGTTACCGGAGCTTGGCCTTTGTTGTTCCCAAACGTCATTTTATCAAAATCAATTACAAACTTCCTCGGTAGTAGATAGTCCAAACCTAATATGCATTGGTCTTCAATGTCAGCCAAGTATACTTTCTGTCTGTTTTTCATGCCCATGAGCTCAATAGTTACCCACACTGGTCCCCACAATCTTGTAGAATGTCCTGTCACACCATAAAGCTCCTGTATGGCTTCTGGTGCTCCTTCATGATCTAACACTCTGATGCTCACAAGGGTTTGCTGAGACGCAGAGTCTATGACAAAGTTGCACCTTTGGCCATCTAGCTTTCCTGTCACATAGACACTGTGTGTGCTTGGCATTTTACACCTAGCTTTTGGGACTTTCATGATGGGGGTTGGTGAGTGTCCCTCAACACCAACCACTACTGGTCTCCTTGAGGCTGACTTGTTGGTAATATTCTTCCTACACTGGCTCCTCAAATGTCCGTGCTTTCCACAGTTCCAACAACTTTTCTGGATACCAGCCTTTCCTGCTGTGACACCTCCCCTGTTTTGAAGTTGCCAGCATTGAGCTCTCTTGTGCCCAGGTTTGTTTCAGTGCCAGAAAAGTCCCTCAAACTTCTCTGAAAGCTGACCTTTTCTGGCCTTGAATCCAGATGACTGTACCAACCTTGGTACCTCTGTGCTGGACTTAACGTAGGATTCAAATTCGGAGAGCTCTGGCCATTGCATCCTGCAT